GGAGGAACAAATAGTTAGGACACAGGGACAAGAACTGGGGTTGGTGGAGATGGGAGGGAGGTGGGGAGCAGGAGGTGGGGGAGGCTGGGATGGGAGAAATAGACAAAAATACTGTACTTGAAAAATAACTAAGTAAAATTAATTTAAAAAATAAAAATTAAAAAAAAGAAAACATGCCACATGCCTGGAACAGAGTATGGTACATATTAGGGGCATAAATAATGAAAAAAATGAAATTGTTACTAAGATTAATAAATAATGTATTCCAAATTCTAATGAGAATAAACATGAATTAATAAGAAAAAAAAAGTTTACTTTATCCTTGCAGATAACTACATGCCTAAATTATAGAATAATTAATAACTGACAATACTCATCTAAATTATGATTAATATTATTAAAAAATAAGCTATGGCTTGCCATAATAACGAATAACAATGTCTATTAAGAAGAAGAAAGTAAGAAGTACAGTTAATCCTTGAACAACAGGAGTTGATCAAAGGAGTCAGACTTCTGGCCAGGATGGAGTTGTAGGTGGAAATACTGTGCCTCTTCGCACAACCAAAATTAAGGACAACAAAGATTTAGAAACAAAAACACAACCAGAACAGACAAAAAAGTATACCATACAGAAGTCCGACAACCATTCATCCAAACCAGTAAGAGAGGCAAAGAGGGGTCACAGCAGGAAAAAGCAGTGCCTGGCAGACCTGGGGGCACAGGCAGCTGCTGGCAGACTCCAGGTGCAGGGAGGCAATGAGCAGACCCATTGAGGCACATGAGGAGTCTGGATGACTACAGTCAAACATTCGCACACAGATTAACCAGGCAAAAACAGGCAGTGAGACAGACTGCTCAAACCCAGGGCCCTAGCGCAGGGAAATAAAGCCTAAAAGCACCAACTGAAATGCTTGTGGAGGCTGAGGTCCTGTGAGAGACTTCCAGCCTCACAGGAGAGTTTGTTGGAGAGACCCACAGGGTCCTAAACCGTGTACAAGCCCACCCACCTGGGAACCAGCTCCTGAAGGGCACAATATGCTTGGGGGAAGTGGTGGAAGGGACTGAAATTCGAGCAGAGCAAGCGCCATTGTTCCCTCTCTGCCCCTGCCCCCACATACAGCGTCACAACCCAGTGACTGGGTTGCCTCACCCTGGTGAACACCTAAGGGTCTGCCCCCATATATAACATGCAGGGCCAGACCAAAAAACTATGGCTCAAATGGAAGAACAAATCAAAGCCCCAGAGCCAATACTTTTAAGCGACCAAGAGATAGCCAACCTATCAGATGCACAGTTAAAAACACTGGTGATCAGGATGCTCACAGAAATGGTTGATTTGGTTGCAAATTAGATGAAAATATGAAGGCTACACTAAGTGAAATGAAGAAAAATGCACAGGGATCCAATAGTAATGGAAAGAAAAACTGGGACTCAAATCAACAGAGTGGACCAGAAGGAAGAAAGAAACAACCAAACAGAAAAAAAATGAAGAAACAAGAATTTAAAAAAAATGAGTAGAGGCTTAGGAACCTTCAGGACATCTTTAAACATTCCAAATCTGAATTATAGGGGTACCAGAAAGGGAAGAGGAAGAGAAACAAATAATAAAGGAGAACTTCCCCAATCTGGCAAAGGAAATAGACTTCCAGGAAGTCCAGGAAGCTCAGAGAGTCCCAAAGAAGTTGGACCCAAGAAGAAACACACCAAGGCACATCATAATTACATTAGCCAAGATTAAAATGAAGGAGAGAATCCTAGAAGCAGCAAGAGATAAGGGGACAGTCATTTACAAAGGAGTTCCCATCAGACTGTCAGCTGATTTCTCAAAAGAGACCTTACAGGCAAGAAGGGGCTGGAAAGAAGTATTCCAAGTCATGAAATGCAAGAACCTACATCCAAGATTGCTCTATCCAGCAAAACTTTCATTTAGAATGTAAGGGCAGATAAAGTGCCTCCAAGATAAGGTCAAATTAAAGGAGTTCATCATCACCAAGCCCTTATTATATGAAATGTTAAAGGGACTTACCTAAGAAAAAGAAGATAAAAAGGATGAACAGTGAAAGGACAGCAAACTCATAGTTATTAACAACCACACCTAAAACAAAAGCAAACTAAGAGGACAGCTAAATCAGGAGCAGAACCATATAAATGAAGATCACATGGAGGGTTAGCAACAGGGGAGTGGGAAGAGGAGAGTGGGGGAGAAGGTACGGAGAATAAGTAGCACAGATGATGGGGAGAAAGTAGACAGGGGGAGGGCAAGAGTAGTGTGGGAAATGTAGAAGCTAAAGAACTTATGACACATGGACATGAACTAAAGGGGAGGAATGTGTGAAGGGAGGGGGTATGAAGGGAGGAGGGGAATGAAGGGGAGAATAGGACAACTGTAATGGCATAATCAATGAAATATATTTAAAAAGAAAGATCAGAGCAGTTGAAAATCGACATATAACTGTTGACTATAGTCAGCCCTTTGAATCTGCAGATTCAACAACCTTGAATAGAAAATAGTATTTTTAACACATGGTTGGGAAACCCCTGGATACAAAGGGCCAACTAGCCCTGGCTGGTGTGGCTCAGTGGATCGAGTGCGGGCCTGTGAACCAGACAATCGCGGTTCGATTCCCAGTCAGGGCACATGCTTGGGTTCCAGGCTGGTTCCCTGCAGGCCAGTTCCCAGCAGGGGTTGCACAAGAGGCAACCATACATTGATGTTTCTCTCCCTCTCTCTTTCCCTTCCCCTCTAAAGATAAATAAATAAAATCTTTAAAAAAAAGAACAACAAAGGGCCAACTATATTTATTGCAAAAAATCTACATGTAAGTTGACCTATGCAGTCAAAACCCCTATTATTCAACCCAAACTATACCATTTACATGAAGCATCTATGTAAAATAGATTGAATCTCTGCAAACAAAAACAGAACAGAAAATACCAACTTAAACAGAGCAGGTCAGTTTGCCTACATTTTCCTTAATACCATTTGACTAAGGAAAGATAGATTAGTAGAATTTGCCCTCAGCAGGTTCAAGCAGGCCTCTTACCTCTTGCTTTATTTATTCTTTCATAGGACATAACCCAGAAATACAAGTACTTTAACCTGATATTCAACTAAAAGAAAAAATTTTCTTCAGGACTGTAAGAAAAACTGGATCCAAGAAGGCCCCTTCCTGAGGAACTTTCGCAGGCAATTTTGGCTATAGCCGATTTCTTCATTTTGCCTTGACTTAAGCATAAGGTGGTAATTATGAACTAGTCAGTATTTAGGCTGATGTAGGCAGTGTTGTGGGTTACAGAGGGGATTGGGTTCTTCCTTTCTACCAGGATGAAATAAATATCTCAGCCTAAGACAGAATCCAAGAACTGGAGATGAGTCAGGAGCCTGGTGGGTCTAGTGTCTGGTTTACAGGAGACTTGAGGAACCCCTTGTCTGCTTTATGAGGGTGGATGTTACACAGGTTTGATTCAAACTGAGTAAACTGATTGAGAATTGCGACTGCTATGTCCACATACCTTACTGTTAGCATTGAGCACTGAGACCAACTGTGTCAACATAACTATTTCTTCCAGGTTATTCTTGCCCAGAAAGTTAAGGCTGTAAACCAATAAATAACTTCACTGTTTGCTATAGAAAATTCCTAGAGAACAGTCTGTCCTGGCAAACAGTCAGCTCACCTGGGAAAACAGCTTGGCTATAAACAATGGCTTACTTGCCAGGACTCAAGACCCTTGTCTTGCTGTATTCACCAATCCCAAACTATTAGGTCACAAACTTTGCTGAAAGCCAATCACTTCTCTGCCTTGAAAAACACAGCTAAAAAGACTTGGACCTAGACCTCTAACCCCTGTAGATCTGCCTTCCAACCTTCCCTTGCTCAGACACCAGCAGGACTGTGTCCTGCCTATGTCCTTTCTTATTGCAGTTAGCTTACTGAATTTAGCTTTCTTTTATCAGTAGGCTCTTGCAATGGATTTTTTGAAGTCCATAATTGACACAATAAATTAGGTTTGGCCTCTAGGAAGCAGGAGCTTTTAAAGGCAAACCAATACATACTTAGACAACCCATTAGGTTTCAGGAATTAGAAAAAACTGTCAGTTTTCCTCTGTAATAAAGTCAAGAGGCTTCTATATCATTCCTCCTTTGAGGGAAGATCTGGTGCTTTAACATCTGCCTACGACAGATTTCAAATGCAAAATTTACCTTCACTTTTCTACTCTTTTACAGGATTCTGTATTTTCCAAATTTTTAACAATTATTATTCATTATTTTGAGAGTGAAGGAAAGGACACACAGCAAAAGCCATAAGAAGGAAATTACTTCCCAAATGTAAATTAGAAAGGACCACCAGTCTTAAAACATATATACACACAGAGTATATAAAATATCCATTTAGACTTGTATCCCTTTAAGGTAGCAAGCTAATTTTATCCCATTGACATCACTTATGCCTATAGAAAAGCTGTATGTAGTTTTAATCACACTGCCTTGTTTTTCTCTTGCCTGATCTGAAGAGACCTCTGGGTGTTTGATAAAAATACACCAGTAAATAACATTCAATCAGTCTAGGGTGAGGCCCAGGAATCTGATTTTTTTTTTTTTTTAATGAGCACTAAGTGATTCACACAATCAAGCAAAATACAAAACACAGGGCCAACAGCACTGATTCACTGGGAATGCACCAGCTTCCATTGTAAAATCATTCAGCTAAAAAACAAAAAACCAAAAAACAACAGCGCTGAGCAGTTAACATACACACAGAATAGTATCTCTTTGTGCCTGGGTCCTGGGCCTGTCCCGAAGCACTAACTCAACAAAAATCCCAGCTACTGTCAAACCTGGTAACAGCTCGCAGCTGGGCTCGGGAGCTCCCCAGCCAGAGCTGGCTCAGAGAGCAGGCTTCCCCTGCAGCTCACAGGAGCGCCTGCAGCTCCTCGTGAGTGCAGCCCAGCAAAGGGAGTAAGCTGCAGCTTAGAGATCTCAATCAAGGCTTCCTTTTACCTTAAAGAAACTTTCTCTCTTGTCCAGGCTGCGGGTACCCATGGTCCAAGATGACATTTCCTCCAGTGAGGCTCTACTGCATGCCTGGGACTCCTGAAGGTAGAGACATTTTTAATGGTTATAGTCCAGCCTGTAGGAAATTCCTTTCTAAGCCACAGAACACTCACAACAACAGTGGTGCCAAGATCTTTTTCTGTCAACAACATAGTGCCATTTATTTCCCACCAAAGCCCTTCCATCTCCTTTTATGCTGATTTCCTGCCTCGGACAGCACAGTTGCTAGACTTTGCCCCACCTCACTGCCCCACCCCCCACATTTCCAGCTGAAAGTCTCCGGGACTACAGAAAGCATAATGATTGCTTTGTGTGTTTGCTTGACCTCACACACCAGTCCCAAAGGGGCCAATATTAGATGTCACTGTAATCTGCTCCAAAGCTTATGGACTTAATGTGGCTGATCACGGAGGGACAGCGGAAGAATAAACTCCTGCATGTTCCAGGAAATCCTGCTGGAATGGGATGAGATCATCCTTAGCTATGCTAGCCCCCTTCCCTAGGCAAGGTCAACACAAGGGCACGGGGAATAAATCTCTCTATTTTCTCTTTAGAAATCAAAGATTGGGATGAAATTCCAAGTCTGTGTTTCCAGAGGTCAATTTGTGTAAGAAACAGATGTAAACAGCTCCATGATAACCTAAAGTGGGGGTGCACTTTGGAATGTGGAGGGAGATGTAAAGGCATGATGTGATTCTGAATCACATCCCTGGCTATTTGAGTTTGGAATTTCCCTCATTCGAAGGTTAAAACCCGATACTCTTTCTTCTTAGTCACAAAGCCTTCAAGGTCTACTTATAAGTAAAACACACACACACACCCAAGCATCTGGCCTCATCCCAGCCAGTGTGTAAGGAAACTTGGGGAGTGTCCCCAAACCTTCCTTAACCAGCAAGGCTGGACCAGCAGCAATTCTAAAACTGCCGTCCCACTCAAGATCCCTTCTGCTCACCATAACATACACAAGCTGTAGCTTGTCCTAACCACAACCCACAGGTGGAGGACAATAAAGAAAATATGTATTTAGTAAAAACACGTCTTGTGACACTAAGATATTAAAAGGGGTCGACTCTGGGGATGGAGTAGGAGACACTGAAGTCATGATAGCCGCCGCCAGTTTGCTGAGGCTATTTCATTATTAGCTGGGGAACAGACAGCAAGCAGCACCAAAGGAACATTTCAACAAGCAGAAAAGCATAATTACTTTGCAAAGAACTGCATGCCTAGGAGCAAGCAACGCTTTTGGAAGAAAGGCTCATTTCGGCCCCACAATTTGTCTCTCAGTTCACATCCATAGTGACTGCAACAACCCGTGGGATCCCATCTAGGAAAAAATAATAATGACACGCACACCCACCCGTCCTTCTAGAACATTCACCATTTTAGTCACTTCTCCATCACTTAGTCACTTTAAAGGTTTGGAGGTGTCTTTCCTGTATTTCTTTCTACTCGCAATCCCATTGGATGAAGGGCAGCTTCCAAAAACCTCCTTAAAAGACTAGTGAGCTTTCCACTGCAATCCTGCTGATGCCACAGGTTCAGGTTCTCAAGCTCAGCAATTTAATGAAGCCCCATCTCCAAGGCCTTTGAAGTTCATCACCTACTAACAAAGTCCACAGATTGTAGTGACTCCAGAAAGAAACACAGTGCTGTGTTCAGGATTAAGAGCAGAATGGGAACCACTCTGTAACTGTTTCAATCCAGAAGCACACAAATAAAAAAGTACACTTCTTGAAACCGACCCTAATGTCTGTAATTCTTTTTCTTTCAGACGCTTTCTCAGCAAGAGATTTGAAATTGCACAGCAGTTAAGGGTTGGCCCAGCGAGAGCCAAGACTTCATTCCTCATCCAGACCTGTGTCTCTCTGTTGGTGCGGAAATTTTCTGTATACAAACCCTTTCTGATGAGCCATGACAGGCATGGAATTTTTGTGTATAGTAACAGATCAGTCTGGATTCCAGAACTTCACTAGTTCAGTAAGCTGCCTAAAAAATGTATGCGTGCACTTCAACTTCAGTGGTCCTCAATAAAACATCCACTCTGGATTCCTTGTGGGCAGGCAAATTCATCCCATTCCTCTGAGAAGGTACAGGTTGCATCTACTCCTTCAAAAGGCTGCTCCAGGATGGAGATGCAAGCAGATGATAAGAACAGGCTGCCAAGTGCCACAGCAGGTCCTTCCCACAGAAGGAAAGCCAACCACATCATAGATCATTCTAATTTTTAAAAATAAAGTACTTGAGAGCCCAAAAGAAGTTTCAGATTATGGTCTTGCCTGTTGTAGCAGTAGTTCCCTTCCCAAACCATAACCTCTAACATGTTGGCTCAATACAAACCGAAATTTAATAGAATTTAAATCAATTCCTTCTCCCCATTTGTGGTTACCCATACCTCCCCTGCAGGTGTTACACAAGCAGTTTCATCCTAAAACCACCCCAGTAATGGGTCAGACTAAGAAACAAAAAAAGGTACCGTAGTTTGGGAGACTGTAAAATTCCTCCAGAGTTAGATGGTGAAAGCTTGCTTCTTTACTGGTTTCCCTGAAGTTGTAAAGCAGATTCTTGTAAAATCAGCACAGCACGTCCAATGGATCTTTCCAGATGCCAGCTAAAAGCTAGCAAAAGAAAAAAAAAATCCTAATGAGACCAAAGGACACTGCAAACATTTTGGAGCTGCCAAGCCTTTTTAACAACACCACTGAAAGAATGTAAATGAAGCTGGTTGCTTCAGTCGCTAAAGGACAAAGGCAGGAAGTGATTATACCTCACTCTCTAGAAACACCAAGCTCTGCCGCTTTAGACCTAGCTATGGCTTTCTATGTGGTGCCAAAAGCTACTGCCGAGGTGAAGGTCTACCCTGAAATTTCAGCATAAAGCACTCCCTGAATCACCTGGCCAGCATTTAGGCTGCTCTGGCTGCCGCTGAGCAAGATCCTTCACGGCTGGCTTTCCAGCCCATTCCACAGAAAGCCACTGATACAGACGCTGAGTCTCTGCTGCCTAGATCTTGGCTGCAGGCTGGCAGATGGGGATAGGAACAACCAGTGCCCAATTTCCAGTTCACTAATCAGTGGAGCTGGGCAGAGTCACCCTGGCACTCTTCCAACTTTTGCCCTACCTGGCCACAGGCCAGATCTTGGAAAGACAAGGGTCTGAGTTGTGCCTTCCCTGCTCCCTCTCTCTCCCCCTCCGCGCCCTTGATTAATTTAGCCAAACTATACCCTTCTTACTTTATTTGCCTGAGATCATAACTACAAACCCACAGGAGAAGCAGCAGAAACTCACATCGGCATTCACCACTCACAAGTTCAATTTAAAAGAAATGTGGCTTAATTCAAGACATCTCCACACTGCTGTGAGAGCGGCCACAAAAGCTTTCTCATCACTAACTTTTTTCTAGCGAGACAAAGTGGACTTCAGTTCTTAGTAAACAAGAGCTCATTATAATTATTTTTCAGCCAAACTGACGTAGGAGTAAGTGACTCAATGCTGGGGACCTGTCAGGTCAAGGCCAATCCCAAGAAAGGCACTTCACCTTCTCGCCTGATGACAGCATCTCTTCTCTCTTTTTAATGCTTTTTGTCTTTACTAAGAGGTAGAAGCAAGTGGGGCAGCTCTGTGTCTGGATCCAGGTCAGGTCTCTGAATATTTTCATAATTTTCTTTGCATTACCACAGCTTTTCCAAGTTGAACAGTAAAATCACTCCAGGTTCTGGCTTGAGAATTCAAGTTATGTGAATTTTTAATTTCTTTAAATTCAGTGCTGATTTTCCCTCAGTTAACAGTCAAACTTTTTTTTTAAACAAACAGATCATGAAAACTATTCTGTCAAAAGAGAAACTAATTAGTGAGAAGTCAGAAATCAGAAGCAAAGAGCTATATTCTCAGCTTCCTCACTCAATAACTGTGTTTTTAAATAGAATTAGGAACAATGCTCAGTTTTTTTCCAAGAATAATCAAGGAAAGTAATTTTTCTCTTTTTTAGCTGAGTGCTCAGGGGCAAAACTCTGCATTTCTGCTGTTCACAGTATTGGCCTGCAAATGGGGCTAATTCCAATGGAGGGCCATCCCTTTGCTCCTTGGAAAACTGGTGTCTCTAAGACTCTAATCTCATCCATGCTGCAGGAGCTCTGCTGGTGCCCATGTACCCAGGTGGACACTCTGACCACAAGCAATGTATACAACCCTGGGCAACAAGTGGGCAGTTCTACTAGCTAGAAATTCCTTCTTTTTAAAAAAAAATATTTTATTTATTTATTTATCTTTAGAGGGGAAGGAGAGAGGGAGAGAAACATCAATGTATGGTTGCCTTTCATGCGTCCCCTGCTGGGAACTGGCCTGCAGGGAACCAGCCTGCAACCCAGGCATGTGCCCTGACTGGGAATCGAACCGCGATCCTCTGGTTCGCAGGCCCACGCTCAATCCACTGAGTTACACCAGCCAGGGCCTAGAAATTCCTTCTTTTCTTGGATGAGAAACTGCCTCTCTTCTCTTACCTCCCAACCCAATGCCCTCATTTCACCCCTTGGTAAAGGGGTAGGTACCTCCTCCACATCCCAGCAGACATACCTACTCCTCCCTTGTCACTTCTCCTGTGTGTGGCTCTGGCTTTAGGCCTGGTACACTCTGCCCACCGAGGTTGGGGTTAATAAGGAAGAGGGGGGCTGCTACCCCCAAAGCACTCTGTTTTGGCATTTCAAAAATGCGTGTCTTTTCAAACTTCCTCACTTGAAAGCTCCATGTGTTATGTGGTCGCACACCCTGCATATGTGACTTCACACATACAATGAAGACGATCCGTAAGCCATATTGGCTCTTAATGAAAAGGACACTATGGATGGGAAGTCACACTTCTTCTTCTCCAGGGTCTTTCTTAGGATCTACCTGTCAACCCATAAGTGCTTGACTTTAGCATTTTCTTTTCAAAGGCTCTCTGGCCATGATGGTAATGCACACGTTTTTTGCCTAAATTTTTTAGGGAAAAACAAGGATGTGCATTATACATGGGTAGTTCTAATTCTGTTATCTATATATATATATTTTAAAATTCTTTTATCAATGCTTATACATTAAATGTGTAAGTCTAGAAACAATAATGATACCCATATGTACAAAAATAAATGCAAAAATTCCTTCAAATACAAAAACAAGTACCTAAATATAAATAAATTAAAATTTGAATTAAAAAATTAAAATGAAAGATTTTTTCCCTGAAAGTTTGGGTCAGAAACATGGGTGCACATTATACACGGCAAAATATGGTAGGTGGTTAACTTTAGTTAGAGACCCTAGGAATACTCTATTATCCAGTGTGTATTTTACACTGAGCACATCTCAGTTTAGACTAGCCACGTTTTAAGTGCTCCGTAGCTACTTGTGGCTAGTGGCTGATGGGCAGCAAAGGCTTACGTTGAATCTAAACCTCCTCATTTTACGGATGGAGAAACCGAAGCCCAGGAGGCTGAAGTGCCAGGGCTGGGTGTCTATAACAGGGATGGGAATCAGACCTAGGCTGACCTTCTCACGTGGAATCCCCACCCTACGCAGCTTCCTGAGGGTTCCACTCTGATACCTTTCCTTTTTTTCCAGTGGGATCTCCCAGAAAACCCCATCTGATCACATCCTGGAGACTTCTGGAAGCAGATGGTTAAAGACATGTATGTGTATCCAAAAAAAGCCAATCACTCCTCCAGAGAACTACTATCCCCATGATCTCTTTATTCTTGTAGTATTTTTTTTTGGTTTGGTTAACTAACAGCTTATGTCATTAGTGAAGCAAAGTGTAAGAACATATACAAAGTCCAAATATCTACAGAAAAAAAAATGTCCTGTTTAAGAGGGTAGATCTCAGGTTAAGTGTTCTTACCACAATAAATAGAATAGAATAAAAATGGCCCAGGTTCAAATATCATAACCACCATCTCTACGGGGAAAAAAAGGGACACCATTCCTTTTAACAAACTAGCCTCCTAGGGCATATATTGCCTAGAATTTCATGCACTAATTTGCTACTTTTTCCTTCATTTTGATCCTGCAGATGTTTCTGTCTTTCCAAACTTTCCACTTCACCATTAGAATATTTATCCACCCCTTTAATCAGTAATGTGCTGAAAAATGTTTTACAAGTGGCCTTCTGGGGAGTAAAAGCCCAAAGTTTTAGCATTTTCCTATTTTGTGGTATAAACAATCTCATCATGGGCAATTTCAAGCTACCAAAGTGGCACCAACAGGCTTACAAAATTCATGCAAGTTTACCAGTCAGATCTAGTGAGCAGGGTGAACTAACTCCAGTTCACCAATGCATTTCATTCACTCATTCTAAACCACAAGGCCTCTGAAGAAATTGCTTTTATTTGATTCTTCATACACTGAAGTAATAAAAGATAATGAAAGTCAGAAACCAGATCTCTAGACTGAAACCAGCACTTTATCCATGAAACCACATTATCTGTCCCTAGTAAGACTTGAAATATTTCTGCCTGTCATCTTAACCAAGTTAGACGATGCCATCATGGAAACCTGAAAGATGCTGTTAGGTTCAGTGTATGACTTTATACTTAGTAAGTTCCATTTCTTTAGAGGTTGAAGAGAAGATTCTCCTTTAGCCAAACACATACTGGGGATCTTGTATGCCTTATTCAGAGTAGTACCTCCAATACCTTAAATAGTACCTGGTACATATGTGCTAAATAAAAGTTTGTTGTATAAGTGATTGCATGAGATTTTACAGAGAAGTCATCCAGGCTGAGAGGAACGGTTTTAAGGAATGGCTTCCTAAAAGCATATGATGACAGAATCAGAGCTTCAAGAACAAGAAGGGAAAATCAAATGCCATAAACTCACATACCATGTTGTTGACCTACACACTTTATTGAAAAAACATTTTTTATACCACACTGAAACATAAGGGCATTGGTTTAAGGAGTCCACATGTTCTCTTGGTGGTGGAATTTTTCCTATAGAGTCTGATCTGGAGCCCTTCCTAGCTCTATAACACACAGACCCATTGTGTTCTCTAGAAGTCCCTAGCTAGTCATGTTTCTCAGCTCTTTCACTACTGTACAAATCAGAGTTCTAGAAAGGTTTCCAGGTTTGTTTTCAAGCCATCAAATTTTCTTTTCTTTTTTTATGGAAAAAATTTTAATATATTTTATTAATTATGCCATTATAGTTGTCCCATTCCCCCCCTTCATTCCCCTCCACCTTGCACACTCCCTCCCCCACCATTCCCCCCCTTTAGTTTATGTCTATGTGTCACAAGTTCTTTAGAGTCTATATTTCCCATACTATTCTTGCCCTCCCCTTGTCTATTTTCTACCTACCATCTATGCTACTTACTCTCTGTACCTTCTCTCCCCTTCTCCTCCTCCCACTTCCCTGTTGCTAAACCTCCATGTGATCTCCATTTCTATGGTTTCAAATTTTCATTAGATACAACAAAACAAAAAATCCATCAGACAGATGCAAAAAATCCCAAAGAAATATAACTGGATGAGCCAAAGGACTTTGTGTGTTTGTGCCTGTACTTGTACCTGCATATTAGAGCCTTAAAATTCCCATTCCTGCTCTTAAGAAGTGTGTTGGAGAACATGAGAACAGTTGGGCTTCCTCTAAA